AAACTTGTAGCTTATCATTTTAAATTTACAACGCATATTAGAATGTACCAAACGACATCACATTGCTTAAGTTATGACATGCACGATGAAAAGGTGTAAATATTCTGCTTATTCAGAAAATAAGTAGTGAAATTAAAATAATAGCAGAAAAATAAACTAAACTTAAGAAAGACACTAAAAATAGTAAAATAAAAGTAACAAGTCATAAAAATCCTTTAGCATAAGTAAAATGTGGTGTATTATGATCGGGGGGCTTCGAGCACAACACTAACGTGTCCGGCGAAATAAGACTGCAAGTATACAGTTGTTCGCGTAGTTTTAAAAAGGTTGTCAAACCCACAGGGAAGCGATAATCAAACTAATGCAATCTAATGTTGCAATGCAAAGCTAAGGCTAAAGATTTACGGATCTAAGATGGGAAGAAAGAATTACTAATTCTAGAGGGTTTTAGAAATAATAATAATTAAAAAAAAAAGAGTCTGGAATATGGATTATGCGTACTTAAAGGACTTGTAGAAGTCGGGTGCTAATTGCGACTGAACGCAGTTCCGTAGAAAGTATTAACTTAAAGGTTTTGTCTCACTCTCACGCTATGGACAAAAATCACCTTTCAACCACAGGATTTTTCTCTCGCTCGCCCGTTCTAATTTAAAAAGTGTATTTTGAAAGTTAATAAAATTCTAAACAATGCTTAAAGCGATCTCGTTGTTTTTAGGATCGATGCCTAGTTTCTACTATTAGTTCATTCCTCACACTTGAAGGTGAGAAAATTACTTAGAAGGGGGGGGTTGAATAAGTAAGACTAAAAATCAAAGATTTGAACACAGGTATTTTTATCCTGGTTCGTTGAATACAACTACTCCAGTCCACCTTCTCAAGAGTGATTTGCCTTTCTCTGTCAAGGACTTAATCCACTATTTAAATCAAACAGATTACAAATAGCAACACCTAAGAACAACTGTTCTTAGTCTTCTCAAGAGCAACTGATCCCAACTGGATCCTCTTAAGGAAAACCTTTTACAAACAATGTAAAACTTTTACAAGAGTAAGAATGCTTCTAATAAGCTGTTATCACAACTGTGATATTTCACTTAATTTAAGAACGAAGTTAAAGCAAAATAAAATAATAGGAGCTTTGAGAAATTTGCTTTGATGAGTGATTTTGCTAGAAGTTTGATGCTGAAGAAGATGGAGTGGACTTCTTTATATAGGCACTAAGATCCAAGAAGTCTTGTTACGTTGAAGGCTGTGCAGAAAAGCCTGAAGCCTTTTGTCTTCACATTGGAGGCTGTGCTGAAACAAGCCTGATGCCTTTTGTCTTCACTTGCAGAAAACTTTCCTCAGAATGGAATGCACAGATAAAACCTTTTTGTCTGTGTCCTTGTGTCTAGCACAAAATAGGAAAGAGCTGTTGAGATAAACCAACGTACATATTTAAATCTTCTTCAAAGTAAGTTCAGCTTTCAACAATAGAATCTGAATCTTCAGAGTCTCCAGAATAGAGATCTTCTGGATCTTCAGAGTCTTGGATGTTCTTCAGATTGAGCTGAATCAGAGTATGAGCAGCTTGTGTGCTTGAGCGTGTAAATGTATCAGAGCAGAGTCTTCTATGCTTTAGAGGCTCCTGCTTCAGAATCTTCAAGAGACAGTAATCAGATTCTTCTGAGAGCAGCGTTCAGATTTTCACTTAAGATGCTCTTGAACCTATGAAGCCCTTCATAATAACATAGTTCAAATGCAAATTTACTTTCTTAAGATAATTTTCATTAGTACCTGTAGCAAAGAATCTAGAACACGTTTAGAGTATATATTTCTTGAATACAAAATTCATAAATGTTATCATCAAAACATAGAGATATAACTAAGACACAATCTGTGCTCTTACAACACTCTCGCGCTATTGGTCCGTACTTAGCATATTTCTCACTCTCGCGTCGAAATAATAAAACAAAAAAATTGGAAACAAAGTCCAAAACTAACATACAATTTACAATTTCTCACCTAAGTTTTCTACGGAGTCCCTTCGGTAACGATGGTCCTCATACGCCAAATTCAAAAAGATTTAGCAACACATGATATTATTCATAACAATCATATCTACGAAATTCTAAATTAGAATTAGCATTGCATAACAACAATAATTTAAGTGCAAATGTAAAGAACGGAAATAACCTGAAGAAGAGTAAAACTAAAATGAATTTATACGATACCGGCAAGCTTATAGTATTCGAAACAGAGCAGTACAGAAAAAGAAAAATACAATGAAAGTTGCGACAACTCTTTGATGTGAGTAATTGTCGCTATAAAAACTTATTATATGCCTAAGTCTAGAGGTAATTTGACAGAGCTTCCGCGGGGGTTTTCTCGGCGGCTGGAAAGTGATCATAGTAAGGTATATATAGAGGAAGAGGGAGTTTCAACTGCCAAGGTCATGCAAAGTGGAAGAGAAGAAGTAACTGCACAAAAGCAGTTGCAGAATTTGAATTCTGCAACTTATGCTGCTATGGCGACTGCCATGGCCTTGCCTCATTTAATGATCTGTCTGGATGATGTATGAAAAACGCCATATAGCCATGGCGAACGCCACATCAGCAAAAAGGCATATTTTCAATCTTTCTTGCTGCATTTTTCTCTTCTTTCACTCTTTTTCCGCTTCGCTCCTGATTCCGCAACAGATGAAGCTATCAACTGTAAAACACAAAAAAAAAGTAAAATTCAAATAAAACACATAAAAACGTACAATTAACATGTGCAATGAGCCTGAGAATACGATATGATTTCTTGTCATCATATTAAAATACATTGATCAGCCAACACGGCAGATCAATAAGCGGAGAAAGATGCAAACTTTCAACCTGTCAAATCTAGAAGAAAGAGAAATAGTAAGGGTTCAAAATCAACCAGGTCTCTCTCTGGAAAGATAAACTTTCTATATGAATTTCATTTATTGGAATGTGAGAGGAATATCCAACTCTCCTACTAAATTGGCTCTAAAAAGGCTTATTATTAAATATAGTCCTCAGATAGTTTTTGTTGTTGAACCTTGGATGTTTTTTTGACAAATTCCCTACCAACTGGCTTACAAGGCTTAATCTCAAGATGTTAGATCTCAACAAGAGAGACAATCTAGATCCCAACTTTTGGTTTTTTGGCCTCAAACCTTAACCCTAATATTTTGTTTACTGATGATTAAGATTGGAGACAAGGTTTTTGCTTTGGCATGCATTATGCTTCTACAATTATGTAGTTAGAAGGAATTTATGGAATAACCTTTCTGTGGCAATGAACTCTCATGATATTTCTTGGATGTTTATTATAGATTTGAATTCTATCTTGGGGCTATGAGTATAGGGGATCTCACAATCCAGCTAGAATTTCAATTGAGGATTTCTCTACTTGGACTGATGCCCATGATCTTATCCATACTCCCACCATTGGTGCTGGTTTTACTTGGAACAGTGGCAGAGGGGCAGATCTAATACTCAGAAAAGGTTGGACAAAGTCATATACAATCAAGCATGGCTGGATCCTTGCTCAACCTTAGTGAAATCCAATTCTAATCATCATCTAATCCTGTTGAATTTTGCTTGTCACAATGTCAAGTTTATTTCTCAGTTCAAATTCCTCCAAATTTGGAGCCTTTACCCTGTTTATGAGGATATTATCAAAATTTCTTGGTCCACAAATGTTGTTGGGTGCCCCATGTATATTCTTAATAGGAAAATTGCCCGTGCACACGCTCCTTATATATGACTGGCTTGTGTCCATGTTGCAAGAATTTTATCTGGTGTGGGGACACCACTAGGAGGAAACTTGTCACTGTAGGTTGGAACAAGTGATGTCAACCTCTGGAAGCTGGAGGTTCCATCAATGTTGGATGATGTTAAATTCTAATGATCATTGGGCGTCTGTCATCAAGGTCAGGTGTCTTAGAGCTAATGGGCATATTGGTTACCATATTTTTTCTTCCATATGGATTGGTATGAAACATAAAATTCACTCTATCAAAGACAATTCTAGATGGCTTGTTATTAAAGGTCATAAAGTCAATTATTGGATGGACAACTGGTGTGGTACTGTTCTTGCTAATCATCTGAATTTCCCTTGAGGATCCTTCTTGAATCTTAATACTAAGTTGAACTATAATATAGGACAGACTAGTATTTTTATTTGACCAATACTCATTTTTAAACTATTATATTTTCTTTTCTTATTATTTGCAAGTTGCAACTCCGTCAAAATAATAATATCCATTGACATTCTCTGATTAAAAGATATTATATATACATTAGTATAATAATTTACAAATTAAAAAAATTATTATATATTAAATATTTAATTGAATAAATCTTTTTTTACAACAAATTTAATGTGTTATTTTTTACTCTATGATTTTTCAGTTCAGGTGTTGCTACTAACATTTAATTTAACATAAAATAAAATGTTTCAAGTCTACTAAATTTAATTCAATATAAAATAAAACGTTTTAATTCTACTAAATATGAAACTTTTTTAGTATACTTTTGGATGTTACCTGCACTAGCTAAAAGTACCGTCTGTAAAAAGTGGATTTGTAAACTGATTGAGGGAAAGTTGAAATGAAAAATCATCGGAAAAATAGGAAATACCTAGCATGTTGTAATTGATTTTGTTAAAAGGAATGTGTAAAACAATTGATCAGAATAGTTAGATTTTCGGTTTCTAGGGTCTATATGCTGAAGGATTTCGATGGATTAATTTGAGAAGAAATAAACAACCATATGCTCTCAACTAAATCTTAAGATTATACATATTTCAGAGAACTTCTCTTCATATAGTAATCAAACTATTAATCCTTCTCAAGATTCCTTTTGATTTTCTTCTAAACTTCATAAAAAATTATCTGACATGCATTACACTAATCAGCTTCCATCCCTCATTGCTTAGGTTTTCACTTTAATTCCTAATCTTTTGAAGTTTAATATCCCTTCTTCCTTGGGTAACTTGGCCCGTATGAAGCCTCAAGCTTTCTTTTGTTTCGCCAACTTCCATTGCCTCATCAAATGGGCAACACCCTCTTTCAACGAAGCCTTCCTTCCTTCCCTAAAATTCCAGAGTTCAGGTACTGGATATCTGCCACTAGGATTGTATTCATTTAATTCCTTCAGAGCTGTAGCTACTGCATCATGCACCTTGTCTCCGAGTTCATCCCTCCAACTTTTCAGTTTTTCATCATTTTCATCTAAAATTTCCTGCATAATATGTCAAACATATATTAGATCATGGTCTATGCAATTTTCATCATGAAAAGAAACGTGCCAAATAAGTGCCAACAACGACTATGCGACTGGTAATTTTCTTTAAATTGATATATCTAAATAATACCGCAATATCATGGATAACAGAAAATAAAGGATTGTTAAAATTAAACTATGCAATAGTGTTGTAGCACCACTATAATTTGACAAACATTTTGTACTAAATTAGAGACCCTAGAACAGTTACAGTCTGTCCAAATTCTGCTACATTATAGCAGAGTATGGCGCCTCTATGGCTGCAATTTCACAACACTGACTAACAGCATGCATATCACACTTTGTACTGATCCATCAGTGTAATCTTGTAGAATGAAATGAATCAGTTTTGAGTAGGAACCAACTCTTCACAAGGTTTTGGAATTTCAACACTTTGTAATAAGAAATTAAGAAATGATGCATTATATTTTAAGGGAATAAATATGTCCATAGGAATGTCTTTAATACAAGGGTTGAAGTCACGCGTTTGAGTTGTAGAATCATCCTAAAAATTGAGAGAGAAAAGATAAACTTTAACTTGAACAAACATAATTCTAGAAGTCATTATACCTTGGGATTCCCTTCTTTATCAGTTACAACTTTGTACGGATGCCAGTTTGGATCTCTAAGATAGTTATCACACTCAGACAACCACTCAGTTGCTTTCATTTGCCTTTCTTCGGCAATTTTTCTCTGAGCTGCTTTCCCATTCCCTTCAGCAGGAAACTTTCTCTTGGATGCCTCCACAAACGGCTTAGTATCAAGATCTCCCATCCTTTTCACAGAAATTATGACCCGAGAAGTGTTCTTTGGGCAGCCAATCCACTTTGAACAAGGAGATCAGATTACATGAACAAAACAAACAACGAAATCGTGGCATTAAAGCAATAGTGCCAAACAGTATGAAACACTATGACAAATTAGCTAAAAGTGAAAAAAGAAATTTTGTTCTTATAGACCTGATCTGATTCTGTCAATTTTTACCTAAAATGTAAAACAGTATGAATTAAAATCATCATCTTTGGACACAAACAACGAGATAGAAAAAAGACGGTTGAAACAAGGAACCACACGTGATTCACAAAAAAGGACAATACGTTGAAAATTTGCAATTCCTTGGATATATAAACTAAGGTTAAAACACCGAACATTTGGCATTGGCCATTGTTAGTACATGGGAACAAGACATTGTCTTCCAAGCAACCTATATAAGACTTCAACTACATGATTTGAATGTTTACAAAACAGGACACACTTCTACAAGTATTATATAAACAGCTGTACGTCAATAAAAAGATATAATTAACCCAACATTTCTTCTTAAGTTTTACAAGATTATTCATACAAATAAAACAATTTATCATGATTTTGTAAGAGATTAGTTACAAAAAACATTGATTATAGGGTTGATTTTCAGACCATTAGTTATGTTGTTGGCCAAAAGACATTAAAATCATAATATTAACATTTATATGCTGAGAAAGAAACATACACTTATTAATTTTTTGCGGGCATCTTGCAACTCGTCATTAGTTTTGCGCTCTAGAACAACCAATGCTTGTTGAAGATCTTCCACCCCTTCTAATTCTTCTTCCTTTTCATGCAGATCCATTTTGATCGCATCCAATTTTTTCTTCTCTTCCATATCAGTCTCTGCAATGTGATTCATTACATGGAAAGATCCTCTCAGCCGTTCAATTTCCAATTCCAATGCTTGTTTAGCGTCAAGTCCTCTCTCTAGGTCATGAATTTTCTTGTGAAGTTTCTCTTTCTCTTTCTGCAACATTCAACCAAAAAAGTCCTCAAAACTACGGTGGATACATGTAACTTCATTAAATACTTCAGATAAAAGGAAAATGAAATTTGTGCCTGATGTTCTTCAGCCAAACGCATCATTTTGTTATCAGCCTTTTGTTGCTCTGCTATGGCCATCTCATTCTGTAAACAACAAGATGAAGAACAAAATTAATCAGTCAAAAGTTGTTAAAATAAGAAGAATTAGTGTACGCGATTTAACTAGATGATCCATATATTAAGTTATGATAACCGCACTTTTTGTGATCGGTCCATTTTTCTTAAGAGGTCAATTTAGTTCTCTTGTGAATTGATCACTTTCATAGAAATGAGTTAAAATTTTAAATAGAACTATCAAAAAAAGTGTGCTACAGAAAATTATCAGCATTGCTACCATAAATTGAAAGATCCAACGAAATTACATTTTTCTTCTCAAGATATAGTCTATCTCTCTCATTATGATTATCTGCTTGACGCTTTTGCAGGTTCTTTTCACGGGACATGAGTTCGTTCCTCCGGGCCTCCAGTTCCAGCATGGCTTTTTCATGATCCTTGGACACATTTTCCAGATAACTGCGTTCAGTGTTCCGCATGTTGCTTATTTCTAATAAAACAGTGTGAAACAAACTCAGCTACCAAGAAATATTAAAAAATTATATCATCCAAAATATATTAGACCATAAGCTATAATGAAAGGATAAATATAAAAGCAGAAACCAGAATGCTTCACCTCTAAACATAGTGAAACAGAATACTGATATTAATTCAAACAATCCACCGTAAGTATCAACATACCTTTGTTAAAATGTTCAAGCATCTCCTCTTTTTGATCCATCACTTTTCTTAGGAACACATTAGCCTCATCATACTTGCTTGCTGTTTGTTCCAATTCTTTGTTCTTCTGCTTTAAAGTGTTAGCCAAACCAGATACAAGCTGCAAGGCTTTCCTATTATCCTCAGCTTCTTTTCCAGAAACAGTTTTCAAATCCCCATTTTCCCGGAGGTGTTTTCCCACAATATCCCTGTAATTATAATCACTTCTACGTGCCATCCACCCAAAGAGTTTATCTCCTCGCTCCCTTAAACCCAAGTAATCTCTCTTACCACAATGTTCTACTTCAAAGCTGCTTTCTAGCTTCAAAGCATTGTTGAAACCATCCCATTCTTTTCCAAATTCAACAATCACAAACGGTGTTTGCCCTTTATTATTCCACAGTCCAGTAACTTTCAGCGGCTGAAACCCTTTAGCGTACAGATCATCCTTAATTTTCTTATGACTCTTACCTATATACTTTCCAGACTTCGGGTCATAGTTTGTAACATTGTTTGCCAAAACTACCATCCAAGGCCAGACAAACTCATCTTCAGCAGTATTCACAACATCAATGGGTGACTTATTCTTAGCAATACCCACATCACATGACCGATCCTTAACAGCATTCGCATTAACTGATTGTGCCTTATCAATACTCACACTAAGTGACTTACTATCAGAAACATTCACTCGAGGTGACTTATCAGTATCAACATTCCTATCATGCGACTTATCTTCAGAAATTCTAAAGTCAAGATACCTTTCAAGGGCAGAGTGCTTAGCGATTTCCTTCACAGTCTCGCCATGCAAGTCATCAGCAATCCTTGAAGCATGTCTCAAAAGCTCACTCAGAGAATAATAATCCTTGTTGAAACAGAACGGACACCTAAATGTCGAGTCAGAGATTTCGAGCTTATAGTAATCATCTTTCAACTCATTGAAATATCTACGCTGGTAGTATTTCAAATCAGACTCACGAGTATGTTCTGATTTTCGGTACATCTACAAATGATAAAAGTAAAATCAATTTCAACTAAAAATCAACACAAAAATAACTAGATACGGTGAGTAAAAACTAGAACATTTGATAATTAAGCCCAATGCAAATTATGCTAAAAAGGAAAACGCAATGCAATTATGAAGAAGATTTAAGTATAAATAAATAGACAAATATAGAGAAGAAACTGAGTGTTACCTTGTGGTGGAAGAATGCCATTCAGAGTTGATCAAATGCGAAAACCAGAGAAGATTGAGCGAATGTGTATAAGGATGAATGAGGAAGAAAGTAGAAAAAGAAGAAGAAGAAGAAGAAGAAAGAAACCCTAACAAAAAATTTCTGGAAGTGAAAAATGTGTGAAATAAAAATTTTCTGTTATGGGTAATAAGGAATAAAACTCTCCCAAATGTTCATAAACATTTCGTCTTTTATTTATTATTATTATTATTTTATTTTATTTTGCTAGAAACATTTCGTCCTTTATTTTTTCGCGCTACTATTGTACAAATAATTTTTTTTTTCAGTTATTACGGTGCTGCTATTCACGTGGCCATATAAAATGCCAAAACTTTATCATCTGTCTTTATTCTAAATTTTGATCGCAGAACTTCATAATTTTAACCGTATTATATTAATAGAATATTAGTGATGTGTATTTATAGTGACACAGATTTTTAAATATTTTTTAACCTAATGACATTCTCAACAATATTTTTTAAACTATTCTTTTTTGTTGCAATTTTATCAAGACAGCATTATTCATTAACATTTCTGAAAGATATTATATATTATAATTATACATTAATGTAAAGAATTTCAAATTAAAAAATATGTGATTATAATTTTAATAATAATATCTAATTAAAAAATACATGGTTACATCAAATTCATTGGGTGTCCTTCTAGACTTTAAAATCAATTTTTTATTATTTGACCATATTCGAATTCAATATGATTTTCTAATTTGGGTGCTATTATTTGATATTACCATAAATAAAAAGTTCGAGAATCTAAAACTTTTTAAGTACATCTTTGATGTCATCAAATAAATTTATACCAAAAAAAAAACTCAATATCATATAAACAATTCATGATACAAACAAAATTTCCAAAAAAAACAACACAAACAAAATTTTCAAAAGAAACAATTTGTGTCAAAACCTTGGGCGAACTTAATTGCTATGATTCTCGATATCAAATTGACACGATCTCTTTACAGGTGTGAGGGCAAATAATTTGAGAGCCATTAATTACTTTTACTTGAGTCGCCCTGGTATTTAAACTATTAACTTTTTATGACAATTGTGAATTGCTAACTATTATTTAATAAGAATGTTCATTAACATTCCTTATATTCAGGACCGTCTTTGAGGGTGTTCAATGCGACATATAAAATAGAATCTCACTTTTTTATGATTATATTATAACGAAATAGCTTTCATGTACATCATTAACGGTTCGTCTTTGAGGGTGTTCAATGCGACATATAAAATAGGATCTCACTTTTTTATGATTATATTATAACGAAATAGCTTTCATGTACATCATTAACGGTTAAATATGGTCTCTTAAATATAACTTATGACTTAAATGAAGTTAATTTAAAAGTTTGATACGGTTTTGAAAATATTACATAACATATGTATAGCATGGTAAAGATACAAGAGACAATTCTAAATCATTTCAAATTACTCCATATGAGAATCCATTCTGCACTGACAAATTTATCTTGCGGTCATACGCATTTCACGCTCTCCTTTTACATTTTAGTTATCAATAATTTTTTCTATAAAAGTGGAGTTAGTGCGTTATTTTCAAATAAATTCACTTCTAGTTGAAAAGTTCACTATTTACTTTTTCCACTAAGTTGAGTGTTAGAGTGTTAACCTTGTAGGTTAGCTTTGTCCATTGTACCGGAATCAAATCTCCATTGCGACACAAGAATTGGTGTGGATCTTGAAGTAGTCCGGACTTCTAGCATCGGATCTCTTCAATTACAGTTGAATCAACACTAACCGGAGCAAATCTCCGCTCCGAAGGTTGGATCCGAATCTGTTTTTAACTTACTTGCATAATCATGTGGATTTTCATATTTGATTAACTTTTGGTTAATTTGATCTGATTGGTTCATGATTTGGTTGTATTAATCTGTGCATATGTTGTTTGAATCATGATTTGTTGGTTTAGTTTCGTGATTAAGTGATTATGCGATCATCCGGTGGATCGGATAAGTGTTTATTTGCTGAAAAGTGTTTTTCTGTTGTTGTTTTTTGCTGTTGGAGCAGTGTTAATTGATTAACAACAGGTGTTAATCGATTAATCAGATCAAACTTTTAATTTTTCTGCTGTTCACACAGTGTTAATCGATTAATGTAATATGTTAATCGATTAACACATTCAAACTTTCACTTTTCCAATTGTTTTTTAATGGTTAATCGATTAACAACTGCTGTTAATCGATTAACACTGCTCCAGTAGGTCTATTTTTGCTGTTTTTCATGCTTGTTTCGGTACCGTTTCACTTCGAATCATCATAGATCAGTGTGATGCCTTAGGAGTGGGATGTTTTGGATATGTGTCGCTGTTCGTGATTGTTTAATCGAGATTTCGTCGACGCGCTTGCTTGCTTTGCACTAGGATACATACTCTCGTATATGTTGTCCGAAGTGATGTGCGATTTCTTTTGTTTTGCTTGAGTGTGAGAATCAAGTGGTCGAGATGCGCTTGTGGCGGCTGCTGCCCCGCACTTCTTTTCCTCCCACTTTTCTTTGATGGTCGATGGTCGTAGGAGTTCGCTTCTCCCATCCTTTCTTTTTGTGCTTGCATGTTCATGATTGCTTGCTTGCTTGCATTTCTTTTCTTTATGCAACTCCTTTCTTGCATTAATAAAGGTCGAGATGTGCCTGTGGTGGTGTTTACCCCACACTTTGTTCCTCCCTTTGCTTGTGTGTTGCATTACATGTTTGCATCCCTATTTTCACTCTCATTGGTGGTTGATCTTTCTTCTTCCTTTGTATCTCTTTGCCATGCTCCCCATAGGATATGATAGACTTTAGGTTGGAAGCCATGCATGCTAACATTAGGGTATATGTTTCCCTTTCAATCCTAACCTTAGGACCATTTTGCATGACAACTATTAGGTTTGAGTTAGTCTCCCTTTAGTTTGTCCCCTTTCTCTTCTCATCTTCAAATCATGTCAAAACACTTAATAAAGGTCAATGAATGTTGTGCGTTACGAGCCTTAAGCTACTTGGGAAATGACGATTGGGTGGTTCCCTCTCAATTGTCTAGAATGTTAGTGTATGTCATTTGGACGATATGCGACGCATTCGCTCCTAGGTCATAATTTTTAGTGCAACATGAGTTACAAATTAAACTCAAAACACTTCTTCTCTAAAAGACACAAAAACAACTTCAAACTTCTTTTTGTCCTTTGGGACCCTTAATAATGGAAAAAATTTTCATGAAAAAGAGTGTTGTTAAGCTTTGGTTCCACCGCAAACAGGCATTGTCCCTAATTGCTAGAACGAAGGTTTAACCCTACTCGGGTAAAACGTGTTGAACCAACCGGTGTTCTCGTTAGTCCGAACTACGTTTGCTCTGATTTCTCGTACCAAATGAGAATACGTAGGCACGAGACGACGATGTCTCGGCAAGCAACCTTTCCCCCCCTTTTGCCCGTAGTTAGCCGAACTACGTTGACTTTGACTTTCCCATTGCACGAGGGAATACGTAGGCACAGAGCGGCGATGCTCTGCTAAGTCTCTTTTCTTTTTTTGTCCTGTGAGCCTTTAGCTAGATAGTTTAAACACACCCTTAGATAAACAACAAGCGTGGATCCCGTCGAGTACGACGGACGTGAGGGGTGCTAATACCTTCCCCTTGCGTAACTGACTCCTGAATCCAAAACTTGGTTGCGATGACCTCGTCTTTTCCCTTTTTCGTTAGGTTTTTCCGATCGTTTCCTTTCCCTCTCTTTGGGATAAATAACGAAAGGTGGCGACTCTTCTGTTTTCTGTCGGGTGTTTTTTGCAGTTGCGACATCAAGGCACACTTTTTTTGCATGACCTTCCTTTTTACAGTGATAACATCGAATACTAGATAAATAACCACTATAAGTCTTCTGCTGACTTTTACCCTTCTTCTTGTCAAACTTGTCATCTCTCTTTGTGAATTTCGCCTTAAACGGTAGGCCTTCACCAGTCAAAGATGGCTTGTGCTCCTTTCGTTAATTCAAATCCTTTGAATACAAGACTAATTGAACTTCTTCAAAGGTCAGAGAATTTCATCCATATAAGAAAGTTCCTTTGAAGTGAGCATGTGATATGGGCAAAGCACACAACAACAGTAGTGTTTTATCTTCATCCTTGATCCTGACATCGATATTTTTAAGATCAAGAATCAGCTTGTTGAACATATCCAATTGCTTAGCTAGAACTTTGTCTTCACTCATCTTGAATAAATACAGAGCTTGCTCCAGGTAGAAGCAATTGACCAACGATTTGGTCATGTACAAGCTTTTGAGTTTTACCCATAACCCAAATGTTGTCATTTCCTTCGAAACCTGTCAAAGAACTTTATCACCAAGGCTCAATAAGATTGTGCTATGGGTTTTCTCTACCATGCATAGTTGTTTTTTCCCGTTAACACAACGACTATGGTTGTGGCTCCATTAAACGCTTATAAAATAACCTTGTTGAACTAGTAGGGTTTTCATCTTCAAGCGTCATAGACCAAAATCCTTCACTCTGGTGAACTTTTTAATCTCATACTTTGTTGACGACATCTTCTCCACGCTCACTGCACCAATTTGTTGTGAAAAAGGATACCGGAATAATAAAGTATAATAGGTTTCTTGATCAGCAGGAAACCCACAAGGGTAAGAAAAAAAAGGAAACAAGAAGAACAAAATGAAATTGGTTATAAACTGCTATTCTTTACTTTCTCTCTGAAAGAAGATTACAAGTGTTATAAAATAACAAATAACCTCTCTCACCCTAATTATAATTCCCGCCACGTCAAAAATGAGAGACTAGCATGCTATTTATAAGAAAAACTAACATACTAAATGTTAGATCCCAATTATAGTAGATATTTGATTTCTTTTTAGTAGTCTTTTTAATCGTTTTCATCTAATAGTATTTGATTTAATAGTCGAATTTGTTTAGTTTCATTTTGTTGTGTTCCAAGTGAATGGTGTTTGTAATGTTGCTGTTAGT